TCTTATATTGGTTCCTAAAGACATAGTTCTTAACCATAATTGTGTTCGACACACATCTTAAAATTCATTGTATTTAAGCCTATGCTATGGATAGTGTTTGTAGTTTTACTTCGTTAAAAGCAAATTTAATTGCAAATAAAAATAAAATAAATTGTTAAAATAGCCTAGTACATTTGTATATAGATATTATAGATATTACCTGAAGGAACCTAACTATTTTACAAAGCACCGACCCTCCATACCATACTTCAAGGCATCGTTCTACAAAGTCCACGATTACGTGAAATATACCAACTGTTAAATCTAAAAAGATAAAAACAACAACACATGATTATATAGCATTATGCAGTTACAAATATAGTTTAATCTTTAAACTGAAACTAAAAGTCAAAACAGTATCAATGTTTGTTCAACGTTCTTAAAGTTTACACTTAGATAAAGATAATCTTATCAGAAATTAACATACTCAATTCACCTTTTGACACGTAATAATGTCTTTTCGTTTCAAAAATGAATTGATATACAAAACAACTCTCCATCCTTATTCTAATGAATTGTGTTTACGTCCAAGATAACATTAGTTTACTGCACTGGTGTTCTTTATATCAGCTTGTTTAACATTTAAAATTTCAAATGCTCAGCGGAACTGTGAACACGTAAATGCTCTGATAGACATGCAAAATTGGACGTATACAACATCCAAGATAGAGAAAAGTGTTGTAGTCTCGGTTTTATTTTGCAATAAATGAGTGGTAAAGTGGTAAACACAAGCTACCAAATACGCCCCAAACAACGGCTTTAGCATGTTCAAATTTTACACATTAACACTAATTAGGCCTTTGCAGATGCACATGCAGGTGTATTCGTACTGCAGTGGTCCTGACACTTTTTGCTTCAGTGTGTTTTTTCTAAGAGCATAAGAGACTCGTACTTACCAGAAATAGCGAGATTGACAATGAAGAAGTTCATTCTGGTTTTCATTTCGGTGTGAGACAGTCCAATGGCAACAAGAACACAGACATTGCCAAAAACGATCAGTACAAACAAGGCAACAAGAATAATTAGCTGTGGAACCTGGAAATATAAGATGTTAACATTTTGGTTTCTGTGAAAGGGTGCAACGAACAAGAGGAAACATATCGATGTTTCAAAATACGATGTTCATGGAAATGAAGCATAACAGAAAGACATACAAGAATGTTTTGATTACTTATTAGAAACCGAATAAAGAAAATGGATGTAACAATCAAAACATGATTAGAAACTAAAAAAAATGGATGTAACAATCAAAAACATGATTAGAAACTGAAAAAATGGATGTAACAATCAAAAACATGATTAGAAACTGAACAAAAAATGGATGTAACAATCAAAAACATGATTAGAAACTGAACAAAATGGATGAAACAATCAAAAATATGATTAGAAACTGAACAAAAAATGGATATAACAATCAAAAACATGATTAGAAACTGAAGAATGGATGTAACAATCAAAAACATGATTAGAAACTGGGAAAAAAATGGATGTAACAATCAAAAACATGCTTAGAAACTGAAAAAAATGGATGTAACAATCAAAAACATGTTTCAAATTTCAATCAATGGTAACCTAAATAGTACATGCATTTCATCTTTGACAAAAAATAATATAACGAAATATAATTATGTTTTAATGAAAGGATGCCAAAATTATTATAAAGAATGATCAATATATATCCTACAGTAATGTTTCTATTAATCGTAGCAGCACTCTGCAGTAACTTTTTACTGTACAAGAATAAACACAGATTACCTAAATACTATATGTTCCTTGATAATTTAAGTAGATTAAACAAAATCAGTTTATTACATTTCTAATTTTGAGAATGCTAAAATATACAGAAATCCTTATTACAATAGATGATGGTTATGATTAAAATGATTAAAAACCTAAGAAATCAGTTTACAGAATGTTTCATGAGATAGTTTTAAAGTGTTGTAAAAAATGAAATATGATTTTTTTGCAATCAATGTTACAAATCTTTATCATGATAAATCACATCGTAATATACTACGGTAGTAATTGACACTTAACTAACTGACTATAAGCTTTAAACCTCAACACATTTTAGATCAACTGAAGCAAGGATCATCTCGTCAACATCCTGGTATATTGATAAAACTTAAAAATATTTGAATAAAAATATCTGAGCAATAATCATCTTACTTATTACGTATAATACAACTCACGTTATTACTCAACCTAAGTCAATTAACGAGTATGCTAATCAGATTAAGTCTTCACAACATACTTCTGTGTTTATGAAAGGAAACGGGAAGATAACTGGTCACATAATCGTGCCATCACCATGACAACCATTATTCAAGCTCCTAAACTACGTTTCGTGAAGAAGATAAAACTATTTTGTTTTTCTCATTGCTCTCTTTATATATACAATTTCTAACTTAAGTGATAAAGTTTTTCTGATTTCTGAATTCATTTCAGAAAGGTTTCCTTATTTCTTAAAGTGATACCAAAGTCTTGTAATTACATATTCTGTTACTTTTATTACAGTCTATTGGTACAAATAACATTTATTTAAACTCAGACGTAAATATTCTTAATACACATGGTTACTTTTTTGATGTAACATTCTATTCAAATTCATTAGTTTGGTTGCCGTATTAGCATTCTACACTTTGTAGAATAACAATGTAAAAAACGCTAAAGAAATACAGTTCAGTTATTTGAAGTTGCAGCTTAACACTTTGCCCATTTATCGTCAAATTAGTTTACTTTTCTTAGACATAATTGTCTTTATTTCAGGAGCGTTTATGTTTATTTTACATTAGCAAATTGATCTTCCATCTGCAAAATGTTTTCGTCATAGTGAAATATGCACTCTGTAACCATTGAATGACAGACTCTTGCTATATATAGTTTTAATTATTCTGTAACATCACTTCTTTCAAGGACTTTGTATAAAAAATATAAAACCTAATCACTTAGACATTTCTTAATAATTTTGATAATAACACATTTATTCGTTCACTTGATAGAACTTTTAAAGCCATACTACGGCTCTCTTTTTTATTATTTTAGATTATTTTGTACCTTTATTTGCCCATTCACACACGTATGTTATAAATTATCTTGTGGCAGAAATGCTTATAAAACGGCACTTGCCATACATAAAGGTTAAAAAACCGTGTGATTGATGTCATCCCTATCCAACATAGATTACAAAGGCTGATATCATAAATATTTGGCATAAACTTATGTAAATGCACCTTGCATCATAAGATCAGAATAACTAAAAATGTTGGCTCATAAAACTTAAACTTTGATAAAATATTCAGAAAATACTAGACATCTTCTATCATCCTATATAACGGTAATTTATTCCATCGTACAGACTTCGTCACATTCAAGACAAATCAAAGCTTCTAATGCATAAGTTATTACCATTTCATACATAATTCTACTACAAAACTTGAACCTATAATATGATGAACCTATAATATGAATGTGCTTTGTAAAAAAACAAACAAAAAAAACAAAACAAACAACAAATGGTTATCATATTTTTGAAATGTATTCCTTAAGTCAAACATTCAGCTGCTTTTTTCAGGTTTTCGAATACAAACCAATTATTGTGTAATTTTTTTCTTTTTTATTACAAACACAACAGTCACAATGTGAAACCTCGCAGTTCGAAAAAACACGGCAAATGAAAATGTTGCTTGCTGGATTTGGTTAATTTGTTCTGTTATGGCAATGGTAAATACAAGCCATTGTTAACACCCCAGCGAACTCCACATCAAAACATCAAGACAGTTTTTATTGGGAATTTGAAGCAATCAGCAGAATGTTCTTATACGGTGATGATCATACAACCATCATTGTGTTGGTGTGATTAAACTGTTTTCGTATATAACAACGTTAAAGCTTGAAATGTATCCTTTCAATTCTTTTAGTTAATACTTAAACCGATCCCAAGGCTTTTTATCATGCTATTGGTGTTCTACTACATTATTAGCAACAATTTATCCCAATGACAGGTTGGATTTTGCTGCCAAGCATGACATGACTTAAAATGTTATTGGATAGTAATGACATTGTTTTGGCCTTACAACAGTTTGTATCTAAAACTTTGATTGTATAAAAATGGTCATTATAGCATCACGTATTGAAACATGAAGGTGCAACATAATCTTGTTACACATCTACACACTTTTATACTTCCCGAAAAGACAACCCTTGGTAGCCGCCTTCTCCGTCCGTCGTCACACTATTTTACGGTAAATATCATTGTATTAGTTATTATAAATAATTGTTTACTTTAAAGCTCTAAACGTATTTTTATCTTTTCTATATCCAATATAATTATATTGTCATTGGACAGCAAATGTATAATATATCATTAGACGCAACGCGTTTTCATAGCCCAATACTGGGTCTTTTCGTGCTTCGAGTACTTTGGAGAGTAATTATGAAAATTTGGCCGTTACTCTTTTTACGATTAAGACGTAAGCTGGCAGGCATTTAATATTTTTCAATAGCTAGCCAGGTTTGCGGGTAAGATTTTAATAATTTAACGCGGAGCAAAAGGCTTTATTATTGACGAAACTGATTCTGTAAACATGTTTGCTGAGGTCGATTACATATAACTTTGATTTTGCAAATATGAAAAATACATATATTTTTTTTTATTTTAAGCTGGCGGCTGCAGTGTAAATAATTATTAGAAATAATGCTGACTTGGCTTTTCATGTATTTTGTTACACAAACAGAACACGTAAAAAGCATAGAATTCATCTTCATCAACCCCTTGGTATTTCCAACTACGTTTGTTTTAAGCTACGTCTTTTTACCAATTAATGTTGAATGCTTTTAGTGTTGCTAGACTTTTTCAATCATATTGAAAGTATGAAAAATCATAAATATATAAAGTTATTTTTTGAAATCATTTATATCACGTCACCAACCTTTTGACCTTGACATTCTTTAAATGTCGATTACATATTAAACTGAGAGAATTGTGAAATCAATTAACGTCAAACAGCGGACAAAAATTTGATTCTTTTTTCCTGGCATGACTCAGGTTCTTATATGAGAGCGTTGACATTATTTGACTTTACTGGAGTAATTATATCTTACTATGTTGATAATCATTTCTAGACTCTATACAAAACAACAACACGACAACTAACATCAACCCACTTTGATTGGTTTTCTGGAAAATACGTAGGACTACAATAAGGCGTATCGACAAAAAATCATAGTAATTATAATAAAAAAAAAAGACTGAAAAGGTAGTTCACAATCAAATATTTGTAAATAGGATTTTATTTTTGTTAAGTTATAAAATAAGAATTCATTTGTAAGAATTTTAATGGTCTAGTGCCCTGCCATTGTATATTTATTGCAATTATAAATATACTGAATAGTAAATTAAATAAAGAAATACAATCAAGTGTTTTGTAACAGTATATTGTGTGTAAAATTGAGAAATGATTACTAAGTAAACTATCGTACATTTCGAATTAAGAAGTACGTGGTGGAATAACTTGTTGAACAACAACAAACACAGGTATCTAGATTTGCACGCAATGTCCGACATCTGTTTTATTTTTGGATTCAGGAGCTCATATGCTAAATCTTTAAGCATGGTAAACAACTTAATTCTTAATACTTAAAACTCATAATTACGTAGATATATAAGTATGATGTCCTCCTCATCCCTACAAATCATTCCTAGTCACAGGATATTATAGGATTACTGGACATGCGGCTTTTTACGTCTGTTCTTTTATAATCACACTTAAGCAGGTAGGAGATTTACCTCTAAAACACTTTTTGAGGCCATTGGCCTTTCTGTCTCTAGATGAACAAAAACAACAAAAACATTAACTCTGACATCAATGAGCCCCATGCGACGAATAATAACAAAATATTACAGGAAAAGTTAAATTAAAAACAGCATTTATATAAAGACTAAGATACACTCGGGCTATGGAAAGGCTATTTTTATGAATGCTTCGTTTCTAGAACAAATATCACAAAAGGCGTCTTAGAAATTCACATTATTG